TGCTCATGCATGACCATGTATATGATGTGATATAAGAATGTCAACATGGGTTTTTCAACAAGACATATACAATCAACTAATTATACTTTATTCGATGGTTCTAGAATATCAATGAACAACCTTGACACATATCAAATTTATTGATCAAACATATTTTACTCTTCAGGAGCATCCTATATATAATCTTGACATCATGGACCAATCATTACTTGATTGATATAACTATTCACTACGTGAAAAAATGAATTTGGCACCGGTTCAAACCCGGCCTAAGGCACCGGTTTGAACCGGTGCCAATGTGGGGGGTGCCAAAAAGGGGTTAAAAAAGACACCGGTTCAAACCGGTGCCAAAACTTGAAATTGGCACCGGTTAACCGGTGCCAAAAAAGGGTTTAAAAAAATGTGGAATTGTTTTTGGCACCGGTTAACCGGTGCCAAATATTTTAATTTTTTTTTTTTAAAGAACATCAAACAATTAAAAATCGACTTAAATTATTTAGAACATCAAAATATAGATCGAATTTCAATCAACATAATCAAATATTTACAATATATAATCAAAACAATTTTACAATATAGATTAATACAGTAGTAGTTCAATTACAACATATTAAAAAAAAATATTACAATATAAATAAAAAATATAAACTCAATATTCTTGATCTTGATTCTTCCATTTAAGACCTAACTCAAGATACCTGCACCAATTAAAGAAAAAAAAAAGGATTAATATAATTAAGCTTCCCAAAAAATTAAACACAGAAAAAATTTGAAATCACAAAAAAAATTGAAATCGCCAAAAAAATAAACCGAAAAATTCCCAGAAATCAAAAAACACAGATAAAAAATACCCAGAAATGGAAATAAACTGAAATCGAAAAAAATATCAAAATTGAAATGGAAATAAATTGAAATCGAAAAAAACCCAGATAAAAAATATAAATTAAAAAAACCCAGAAATCGAAAATAATTGAACTCGAAAAAAAATTGAAATCGAAAAAATAAGAAAAAATATAATCTAGAAATCGAAAAATAAAAAATCAAAAACGAAAACAAAATATATTAAAATCGAATAAACAAAAATAAAAAAAAAAATCAAAATTGAAATCGGAAAAAAAATAACCAAAAAATCGAAAAACAAAAAATCAAAATCGAAAACAAAATGTATTAAAATCGAATAAACAAGAAACAAAAATCAGAAAAAAAATAAAATAAAATAAAATTGAATTCGGTAACAAAATAACCCAGAAATCGAAAACAAAAAAATCGAATTAAAATCAAGAAATTATACCCTAACCTTGCTCATGCATGTGTTTGTGGTGGATTAAACCAAATTTTTTTTGATGAAACCCATAAAAAATTAAAGAGAAGAGATGGTGGCGGCGGCTTTGCGGTGGTGTTGTTGTTGCGGTGGTGTTGTTGTTGTTGTTGCGGAGATGTTGTTGTTGTTGTTGCGGAGATGTTGTTGTTGTTGTTGTTGCGGAGATGTTGTTGTTGTTGGTGTTGTTGTTGGGAATGAAGGAGAGCTAGAGGAGAGAGGAGGGAGAGCAGAGGAGAAGGGAGAGGCGGAGTGAGAGGAGAGAGGATGTTGACTGTTTTAGGGTTAGGGGTTATATAAGAGGCCGGTTTTTTTAAAAAAAAAATTAAAGGCCCGGTTCACAAAGGCACCGGTTCAAACCGGTGGCCTTTATGATTTTGGCACCGGTTTGAAGTGAACCGGTGCCTTTTACTCTGGTTCAGCTTCCCACCAATTTTGTAGGCCATTTTTGGCACCGGTTTGGACTGAACCGGTGCCAATTAGGGGGTGCCTTTTTGATATTTTCTACTAGTGATTCTTAACTATGTCTTATTAATATAAACAATGATATTTATTCATATCCATTTTCAGGATGGTGTCATGGTAAATAAACCATTAATATAACACAATATTGGTCATGTGCAAGGATTACTTAAAATAAGGTAATCTCCTCCTAAACCTTACATATTAGGAGCGAAAATTCAACAACCTTTTATAATGCCTTGCACCATTTTTAGTATCTTGACAATATTATGTATCAAGAAAAGTATTCATATACACAAATTATAAAATTTATTATAATAAGGTTTATACATAAATATGCATGCTTAGATTTAATAATTCAAATAATTGAAACTCTTACATGTTCCTGGTGTTCGTCAATGGTATCAATCATTGAATCATTACAATTGCTTATAAGCATGTATAACAAATAGATTAATCAAGTTAATTTGCTATATGAGTCATATACGGACTCTCATAGTCAATTTATTAAAATCATAAATAATCTATCATTATCAATTAGATAACCTTTGATCACATTTGAATTGCTCATTTCAAATGAATTGCTCATACAACCATGCTTGGTTGTTATCATTTTTAATAATCTCACATTCTCTTCTGGGAATGAGTATATATATAATTGGTTATTATGAACAAACATTTATATTTCACTATTTTGTTCATTTAACAATAGTTACCATATCGATTATCTAAAATAAACTTTCTTAAAATTATTTCATTAATGTTATGTCTACAAGATATAGCAATTCATTTCATGAAAGCAATGTATATTATCGTCAATACATTTTAGAAACTATGTTAACATTCATAATCATTACTTTCTTGTGCTACTCCATAAGAAAATCGCATAATATTTTTAAACAATAAACATAAAATTGTAGGAGTGAGATAACTTACCAATGTTTAGGATTCAAGAATAAATAATTGCAATAAATTAAGACTTAAAATATAGTAAACATATGCCACTTTGACGTTCAAAGGATATGTACAGATAACAAGTCAAGCAAATTCAATTGTAAATCAAAGGCAATCTTTTTCTAACGCTTTTATTAACATAATCCACCTTAGGAATATCTAGTGCAAACTTTAAATATCCTTATCTTATGAATTCACTGTCTTGAAACTATTGATCATGGTGCAAACACAATATTGATGAATAAGATTAGACTATGGACTCTCATAGTAATCTTTAATAAACTATTTCATATATGAGAGTACAGGATAAAGAAAACCTCAATGAAAAGAAAATTATAATTACATAGTACATACAATAATTTTACAAATCAAACTAAAAATAATGGTAAGAACCAAATAAACAAATCAAACTAAAAATAATGGTAAGATCCAAATAAACCATGTGAAAAAGTGTAATTGAAGAAAAGGATGCAACCAATACCATTATTCGTGCCACTCATCATAGATATATTTACCCACCATCAATTTTATACAATAATAATATATAACTTGCTAATAGAACAAACATACATACCTCGATTGATTTGTTGAGATCGTCATCATCAATTGATTTAATACGGTTGCTATCATAATTTTTCTTTTAAATTGTATTTGTAGAGTAATGGTGCTGATAACGTGTTATAAAATAGCGAGAAATAAAGAATAGTAGAATACAAGTGGAAGATGTAGATGTTAATCTTAGTTCATTTCTTCATTAGGCAATGCCTATATATATACACACTTGAGAAAATAGTAACTCTCCAAAAGCAATGAAGAGTCATAATAATGAAGAGTTACAAAGGGAAACAATAAAGCTAAAAGGAGTTACAAGAGGTTACTTAGGAAAGTAATAATGCCTAGGAGGTTACAATGGTTTACATAATGGACATACATTATTATATTTCATAATAGGCAAGGGTTTTTTAATTTTAAAAATTAAACACCAATATAATATTATAATGTATGCATGGTAATAGCCGTAAAATAAAAGGTATTTATTGGTTTAAGTTCTCGTTTAAGATATCTTTCAATTGAATGTATAAAAAAAAATAATAGTCTTGATTGTATCATGCACATAGTACAACCGGTTGTACAATAGAAATTGTTAATCAACTCTCTACCATTATCATTAATTCATTATCAACTTATGGGTTATAGATCATTACTATTGTTTTCTTATTAACTTGACAATTTGATTTCATACACCAAAAACATGTACTACATGTATATGTGTCAAATTTGATCAATTAAACCTCTCAACCTTTCTCATTCGCATCTTTACATTATACAAAGTTATAATATTTCCTTTAAAAAAATTATAATATATTTCATAACCTAAACACTAGGAATTATGAATAAGATATAATATTAACAAAGATGTTAATAAATATTCTCTAAATATTATCTTATCACTATGTAATTACAAACCAACCACTATTAGTAGAAATCAATTTCAATATTTCATTTTTGTTAAATCCAAGTGTGTAGTAAAAAGTTTAAGATCAGGTTTGGTTTGAGCTATATTAAGGTGGTGAGTCACCTATTTTAGAATTGATTAGGACAAGGTTATATGCAATTTAAACTTGTCTTGACCAAGCATTATCACCACCTTCATTTTTATTTTCTTTTCATTTACTTTGTTAAGAATAAAAAATAAATTTATTCATCTACCTCCGTAGATGTTGACATTATAAATAGAGAGATGAGAAAGGTGAAAGAAGAGCATGAATGTATTCAACCAATTTATAAAAGCAATTACAATTAGCCATAAACAAAGATGGTAAGCTAAGTTAATGAAGTTAATAATCCTACAAAACAATAAACAACTAGTGTTGCTTCTACTACTAGTGTTAATAATGTGGGATAGTTAACTCCTCACTAGCTCACCATAATGCGAATTCAACTTATGATTTTAAAGTCACGATTCCAAGCTCCACCAATTCCCTTATCTCCTCCTTTACTCTCCTGTGAAGCTGGACTGGTTTAACCTTACGAGAGATACCGATTTAGTAAGTTTTTTTTTTTATTTTATCTTAAATTCCCCATCAGCTCCTTTATTCAAATATTGCTAATTTAATAGCATTTCCATTTCAATTGATAAAAATTGATACTTCCTACAAGTAAATGAGAAGTATATTCCATTTTAAATTAAAGTCGGGTCAATTTTTCCAAATCGAAAATCTTACAACTTACCCCAAACAAAAACATACAAGTATACAACTCTACAAGACTACAACAAGAGTGGCATTCCAATGAGAGGCCCCCGTTGGCAGCTGAAAGTGAGAGAGATAGGAAAACTGTAGAGATGTGAGAAAATGTGAAACACTCAGTCATCACCCTTCTCTTCTTCTTCATACTCCATTCCAAAATTGAAATTATGCAGATTCTTTCACTTTCAATTTCACCATTACCAACTTCTTCATGTCATCTTATGTTTAACCCCACTTCTCTTTCATCATCTTCTTCCACCTTCAACTGTTGTATCTCCCCTGCTTCTGTTTCTGCTTCTGCTTCTGCTTCTTCTTCTGCACCTGAGTCTCAATCCAAGCTTCAATCTCAACCTTCTCCAACTTCCAACCCCAAAAACAACAACAAGAAGAAGATGAATGATGAGGGTAATAATTATACAAAAAAGGGTATTTCAAAAATTCAAGTTTCAAGGCAAAAATATATCCCAGTTTCAAAATCCCAACTTCATGATGCTCTCCTCTCTTTCCTCCGTGATAATCAAGGTGGCGGCGATGGCGGTGTCGATAATGTTGATGATTCTATTGTTTCCCATTTCGTCCTCCTCTCCTCGTAAGCTTCTTTATTAGATTATACGGAGTTGTTTAATTGCCTTTTGATGATTTTTCTAGCTATAATTTTTGCTTGATTGTATGTTTTCTATGATTGTGAGAAATATTAATGGAATGATTTTACACATTGAATGATGAGAAGCACGGACAATTGGATCATTTCATTTGGAAGAAGTGTATGCGTTTCCTGATTTTTACTTATCTGAACTTATCGAAACTTATTATACGGAAACTAATTTTACTCCGTAGTTGGGTAAGGAACTTATTATAGCTTATCTGAATAAGGTAAACATAATGGAGTCTAAGCTGCAATTCTCCTATATTAAGTTTCTACTAAAAAAAAAAAAAAAAAGGTTTTAATAGGTATAATTAGTTTCAATCAGTAATTGCATTTAGCAAAGAAGTGAAGAACAGTAGTGAATTACTGAAGTAAACACAAGTTTCAATCAATAAATATCAATTTTAATCAATAAATATCAATTTTAATCAATAAAAATAATTTCAGTTCGGTAAAAGTTAGGTGACAGGATGGCCTAAGTTAGTGTATTCACCAACAAAGGTACTTATTTTTTATAGTGAATACTTGCTGACCTGATTGATATTCCCACAATTCTGAAAAACATGTGTGAAATTAGAGGAGATTGTGCTCGTAAATCCCATAATTTGTCTAGTTTTCAGCTTTTCACTATGACTTGTAGATGTTGATATTGCTATCTTGTTTATAGGTGCTTGGACTCAATTCTTCATGCTGAGCATAAAAGCATTTTGGAGGAAATGCGAGCTGATTACCTCTCCACTCAGTCTGTGAGACATGAGGAGGATTTTGATACGTTTGGACTTGAAAGGGAAAGAGGACCTGATTCTGATGAGGGCATTGAGTTCGTTAATGGTGGAGGGAATGGGAGTGTGAAGATTAGTGGAGATGACACCGCAGATTTAGAGGAGAACCAATTGTCTTTCTTAAAAGGGCTGGACTTGATGCAGATTTTTGGTGATATCCCAAAGAATGATGACAAGAACTCCAGGTATTATAGCTAACATATCCATTATTTATGATGATCTAGCTAACATATCCAGTATAGTTTGCATTTATTTCTACTTGAGCTAGCTACATTAAGCTACTAATAAGGGGTTATGTCCCTTTAATTCAAGTCACAAGGCAACTGAAAGACTTACTCGGATGTGTGGCTCTGATTGTCATTATCGAAATCCTTGTGTTAAATATTCATGTCATTTCAATGGAGTATCAATTATGGTTATTATCTGTTCCTGCAGTTGTATGTTTGTTACTTGTAACGAAATAAACGCCATCCTTCAGGCAACATGAACTTACTGTGCAGTACTTCTGAAGTGGCTACAGCGACCCGTTTCCAGCGCTCTTTCATGAAGCTTCTTCAAGATGCACAATTTGAAGAGCTATCAGTGAGGGATCTGATGCTTACATCAGCATTGAACAGTGATTATCTTCTCACTTTGCCAATATATGTTGATTGGAAAAGAGCTTCTGAGTCCAAAGCAATTATATTCAGGTGATATTTCAGTATTAATGTTTGCATGCATACTCAAATAAAGCTCTTTAACTGTCAAAGCATATTACTTTTCTACATCATTTCCAGTTATCACATATAGGCAGCCTTATGGGCTCTCTCTCATACTCTGATGGAGATTGATTGGGCTACCACCCTTTTTTTTTTTTTTTTTTTTTTTTTTTGAAACATGACCTACCACTTTACTAAAAATAAGACTTTGATTTAGTTCTTTGTAATCAAAAGTTGAGATGTTGCCAATAATGACTCGTTTAGCTCTCTTGTAAATTTATGAAGTATTTATTTTTAGGCAATGTACTTTAGTAAAGATGATTAATCTGAAGTGAGATGATTCGCCAACACAAAACAATCAACTATATTAAAGTAAACCTATCAGGCTTAAATTTCTATGTGTTGGTTGGCACTTAGCAATACTTCCCAATTTCCATTCCAATCCAATAACTGCCACTTCTTTTATCAGATCAAAGAAAGAACAAATTGTTTCTAGCTGTCTTGTTAATGCTAAGCCTATATTCTTGCAACACTTACATACAGGGCATCCATTGCTTTAGTTGTCCTTACAGTCGTCCCCTTCTTGAGTCTTTTGTTCCCATTTGTATAACTCCTATGGCTGCTCATTTGTTTGTATTACATTATTATTTCAGCTGTAGTCTATAGCCCAACAACAATGTCAACATTCTCACAGCTTATGTCTTCTAGTTACGTCTTCCTTTTTCACTTAGCTTGTTGCATCAAACTCTTTTGTTGACACCTATTGCATCATATCTGAAGACCTTTGATTAGAAGGCTGCTGCATTGGCAAAGTGGCAAGTGGTAGATTCCAGGATTAATAGAGTTCTAGTTACAAAAATCATGATTCATCTCAATCCTATTGAATGTTAATTCTCAATCTTAATGACGACATTGGGTTACAATTTCTGGAACCATACATGAGTGTGGTGGATGTATCTTATTGTTAATTTGTTACCAACCTTATAGGTCTTTCCTATAAGCTCTAAACCAAAACGGGAAAAGAATAAATTTTGAATATTTATTTTTTTTGCATGCTTTTCTTTGAATTAGAACTTTATTGATAAATAACAATTATGCATATCCAGGCGGGGCTATGGTACTGAAAAGCAGAAAGGTTTGCTCATAGTCGAAAAGCTTGATTATCTACAATCAAAGGTTTTGCAAGGAATTTTTGGCCTTGTATCAAAACCACTGCTGACTGTTGGACTTTGGATTAAAAAGGTACTTTGATTTTCATTTGTACTAGTTTATAGTTCTTTAAGACTCTTATAGTCATCTCCCTCCCTTAATATGCATATTATTTCAACTGTGTGTGCATATTTTGATTTTTGTGCTAACAATATTGTTCATTTGTTCGGTTCTCTGGAAGAACTAAAGTATGCACATCGTATTTGATAATTAAAAAATGCTTCCAATCTCATTTATCCTTATAAGTGAAGAGAGGACTAATGAAAAATAACCAAGCTAATTAAGCAAACCGATAAACAATGAATTTTATATTAATCAAGGCGGCCTGTGGTGATCTTGAGTAAAAAAAAAAAATGACGGTAGGAGTGCATGACTGAATTGATAATTAAAGGGGAAATTATCACTTAGTTGGCCTCCTAGCATCTCATGGGGTCCGTGCGAAGCACCTAGGTCAATGTCCCCTTTCTAGTCTAGAAAAGTAAAAAATTCTCCAAAAGTGAAGGTTGTAATACATGAAATTTGACCATTTTTGGAGACTTCGGGACCCGATTTTGAAAAATCAAGTGATGTTAGGGGATGCACCTCGAACTCATAAAAGATTGTTTGGAACCATATATGACCACTAGTAGGTCTAGTAATGGTCTTTGATGGCCTCAAGTCAATAGCCAAAGTGCCTTGAATTGACTAGATTGATAGTTAAAAGGCAAATAGGATGGTTCTAATCACCCAAATGGTCTTCCGAGATCCCGTGGGATTCATGGGAAACACCTTATCCTCTTTCCTTTCCGGGTCCGCAAAAAATCAAAATGTCTTCAAATTTGAAGGCTATAATCTATGCTTTTGGACCAATCTTGAGAAATTTTTCCAAAACAAAAGTGGAAGTGGGGGTATCTCGAGGGGTGATAATAATTAATTTGGAACCATAACAAGTCTGCTAATAGATCTATAAAGTCCCTAGAATGAGTTTGGTTCAATTATATGGCTATTTTTTAGATCTATTGTGGTGCTAGTCAGGAGATTCCAATCACCAACTAGGCATCAAAAGTCCTATTAAGGTGTTGAAGTCCTTCATTGAGTAATACCACCCACCTTTGTTATTGCATGTGTTGTTTATATGTTGGTGTGACTGTGTGAGTATGTTACACCATTATTACCATTGTTGATTTTGATTGTTACCAATAGTTCACAGTATAGGAATTTCTCAATTTCATCTCTTGTTGTGTTGTATGACAATGTGACTGCAAAAGGAAGTAGCTTGTGTTATGCTTCTTGAGATTTCTAAATTCTCTAATACAACGTGTTTACTGAAATTTTAAACAGAAAAGTTATGTGTGGCTTTGTTTTGTTATCTTTCATTGTTTTTCCTTCTAGACGGTCTATTAATGGAATTTCCTTCTGCAGACCATTCAACTAGCCAGTGAGAATGAAGATATTCAGCTTTGGATCAAGAGAGTCCAGCTCAAGTTCGAAGAGACTTCCCTATTCCAGCAGCCATATATTTCTGATACAACAACCTCGGACAATTTCCCAAAATATGACCAGGATTTAGACAGGGACTTGCCTATCTGGTTGGCTGCACAAGAGGCTGTGAGTCGTTATGAAGGCTTCTTATCATCAATAGGACCTCGTAGTAGGTTACTGAGGAAGTTTCTAACGTGGGTTGGAGTTCTACCACCAACACCAGAAGTTCCATTTGAGTTTGATTCTGAAAATGTTGCTGCTACTGAGCCTCACTTAAGGTGTGTCTAAAGTTAAAGTCTCCCTCTTCACAGTCGTAAGTGTCCGCGAGAATGTGTGATAAAGGAAGCACTTGCTCATTATATTCATGTTCTTATGATTTTTTCGGGGGTTACAATGACAATAACTGAAGGGTTTTTTCACAGGCCAGTGCTACTATCTAGAATCACTCTCAATGATATATGGAAACCTGCTACAAGAAAATTTTGCGGGAACAACGTATGGAAAATGTTGAGGGTTGGCTTTTCTATTATTTTCTCTCGATCAATTATACAGGTATCTTACTAATCTTTGAAATTACTAGTAGTGTCTGAAAGACTGACATTCTTGCTTCTCTACCACCAAAATTATGCTGTTCTTGTTATGCAATATTTAAACTGAATTTCTGAATTGTAGATAGGAGCTATAGGTCAATCACCTATTAATACTATTCTTGTGTCTGTTATCCTAGGAACCAGCATTTCAGGAATTGATTTTGCTGTACACTGAGGAGACTGGAGATACGAAGATTTCTTCATTGCAATTAAAGATTTATGAGAAAATTCCAGTACCAGATTTACCGGTAACATTTATAAGCTAGTCATGAACTGTTTTTTCATCATGCAATGTACAAATTCCATCTATTTTAAATTTTGATTTATGTTGTTCTGTCTTAATATGTCTGCCCTTATATTTTACCTCCTGTAGTAATACAATATTCAACTGATACATACTGGTCATTGAACTCTTCTTAATATGTGTTTTATCAACTAGGACTGTCAAAGTGAAATGGATGGGGCATTTATTAGCTTTCTGTTTCTTTGTTCAATCTGTCTTAGCATTTTTATGATAATCTTGTGCAGGTCATTTTTCCTCACAAAAAGCTATCATTTCGCATACTGGACACGGTATGGACCATGCAATTCATTTTTAACTTGTAATAAGGTCTTATACACATGTAGTTTCAAGCTTCTTTGCTATTTTAAAATTTGACTGGCATGAAGTTGTGAGTTGTGCAGTTGTGCCTTTAGGATCTGGCTCCATTGATAGCCTCTGATGTTATTAGGGCTTATTCTCATAGACTGAACTGAGCTGAACTGAACTGAACTGAATATTTTATAAGAGAAGAAAATTAGGAGCTGAACTGAGCTGAGCTGAACTGAACTGAATATTTTATAAGAGAAGAAAATTAGGAGCTGAATTGAGCTGAGCTAAACTAAACTGAACTGAACTGAAAATAAAAGTATGAGAACAGGCCCTTACTTGCCCTATTCTACATTTGACCAAAAAAATACATTTTTTTTTTATGTAAAACAGTTCAAATATCATTTTCTCTTTTCATAAATGGATTCAACAATGAAAGTTCAGATTAGTTGGGCCTTATATTAGAGCAGTTTATGAATTGAAAATTTTCCTTTTACTTCTGCTACTCACTACTTTGACTCTCTTTTATAAGATGATGGTTATTTTAAAAGTTTTGTTATGTTGTAATATGCTTAAGTTTCTTCTATAGATATATTTATTTGCAAAGTTGTTAAGATATTACCCTGCAATTGATGAGTTAAATCTTGGTTTCCCAATTCATATATTATAAATATTTGTTAGGATCAATTAGTCAGTACTCAGTACTTTACCATTCGATTATATGGATGAAACTTTAGGCAAGTATTCTCAATTCTTCCTGTTGAAGTTGGCACTCCATAGTTAGCATGTGCCATGAGGTTTCTGTATCACTGTCCTTTACGAGTAACTTCTTACTGATGAAGTTGGTCACTGCTTATCAGCTGGCAACATTTATTTCCATATTGATCTAGTTCTATCAGTATCTAGGTTCTACAGTGTCCCAAAATCATATATGTGTATACAATGTGGATTTGATATAGGGATAGCATCCTTCGTTGTGTATAAAGCTAGGTTTGCCTTGCCAATTGTGAAATTAGAGCCTCAAACAAGGTCCACTTGTTCCATATTCACTATGGTGAAATCTATCTGATTTCCGAATTATATAGCTCCTTTGGGGCAGAGAACTGCATATATTTGTTTCCTAAGAGTAATAAAAGTTTTTTTTTATAGAAGAGCTTTTGGCTGCCTTGCATGGTAACCTATCTGGTATCTTGAACTTCATTTGAAGGTACGCTTGGATGTTGCCACAATTGTAGGACTTCTGGCTTACTTCATCAATTACAGATTTGAGGATGCCTTGTCTTCTCCGTATGTTTTTCGAGCTTTTGGTATTTTTTTCTGAAGATTTCCTACATGAACAATAACTTTCATATCTACTAATATGCAAAGCTTTTCTGCAAGATTTACATATTTTAATATAGTAGTTATCATTCCTCAAGCTCGAATAACCACCTGTTTCCTCAGTTCTTGAAGTCAAGCTTTGCAATTGAGAAGACATGTGAATGAGTGAGTTCCTGGTCAGCTGGTTAAACCTGTTGTCCAGTTACCCGTGAGGCCGTGATAATGCTTTCCTTTCCTGGTGATGCTGAGATTGAGTCCTAATGGAATGGCTCTAGATATGCTATATTCCTTCTAATTGCAGTATCCTTCAAGAGCCCCTATTATTTAATGACTGGTGGATCTATGCACTGTCGTGTGTTATTGCCTGAAACTTGCTGCTTGGAACACCATATAGTCTGCAACTAACATGTAGTCGGCCTGATGCAAGGCCACTTATCCATGCAAGTATTTTCCATGTCAAAACATATAGCTCCGGCTGAGCCCCATTTGTGGAAACCATCTCATCTAGGAATCCCTTTCCCTTCTCTGTATATCAATTCAAACTCATTAACTATTTTTGACCACTTTTGACCCTTTTCTGCTTCTGTTACATACCATCAGTAAGTTCTTGAGCCCTGTGTAACTTCATTCTCAGGTCAGATTTACTGCTAGATGTCATTGCTGTGAGCGCCCTCATCATTTTTGTTACACGTGTAGCACTTGGATACAAACAGACACGGGATAGATATGAGGTAAGATTGCTGAGTTACTCTTTGTTGATATCAGATAGAAGGAAAGACGTTGCCTAATCAAGCTCCCTCCTTTCTATCGTGGTTATTAATTCTTTTTTAAACAGCTTCTCGTCAACAGGGCATTGTATGAAAAAACTTTGGCTAGTGGGTTTGGCTCTGTTTATTTTCTCCTAGATGCTTCAGAACAACAGCAAGTGAGCAGATATAATATTTTTCATGATATATTTCCATTAATATTCTTTTAAGTCTTTTAGAACACTTATCTTTTTCTTATTTATACCTATGATCAGTACAAGGAATGCGTTTTGGCCTACGGAATCCTACTCAAAGCAGAAAAAATTCAGGTCCTCCCTTTCATTAGTTTTACTTGTACATCTTATTGTCCCTGCTTTGTTCACGTTATTGAATTATGTTTCTATTAATGAGGGAATACACATCACTTGGCTGTCACTAGCAGCTGATAACCAAAATGTTTTAGTACCCAATGATCTTTCACATCTGTTGGCATTGCTCATACTCATAAATGTTAAAAGTACGCCTGTTCTAACTTAACTAGTTCTTAGGACTTACGACTTTAAATTGCAGTTTCCTACTCGCACATCCCTCGGAGAAGAGTGTGAGACATTTTTGTACAGCAAGTTCAAAGAGAAGGTATGAACTGAATATATGATTTGAGTGCCTGTTCTTTAACAGTTTACTGTTACAAACTTATAATACATTATGAGCAAAATGTTGCAGGTGAAGATGCCAATTGACAAAGCGGTAGATATGTTGATAAACTTTGGTCTCATAGTTGAAAAGAAAATCGATGGCCAAAATGTGTTGCAAGTTATTCCGTGCTCCATGGCATATGATGCCCTAAGAAATCGTTGGGATTGCCTGTTGCTATAGATTTTGGTTGTATCGGGCCTGATTTTGTAGAATTTTTTGCACAGGTTGTAATCTGGTATACTTGGTTGCTTACTCCACAAACATCATCATTGTATACTACGTATTATATTACCAGGCTTAGATTAGGCTTCATAATATATCTACATATATTAGCGTTTTTAGTACTCCTTTCATTCCAAAATAGATATACTACTATTAGTGCTTTATACATAAAGAAATAACCGACAAATACGTACTGGTTAGACTTATTCATCAATAATCCACATTGGCAGATGTGTCCGTCAAAAAATGAACTGATAGTAACCCTCATCGAATAGGATCACAGCTGCTCGATGTAAATGAACTTTTAGTCTTTAGACTGGGTGGCTAGGCAAGCAACACAATCAGCATTTACAACTAAATCCTAGCCATACTGTACGGCTTAGCTCAGACGGACCAAGTTAAAAATAACCATAACAGTTGCAATACTCTTTCTGGTTGGGCTAGTTGATACAGAGATGAAGAGTAACCAGACTAAGCAAACTCGCTTCTTTAGCCCACGATTTCAATCCAAATAAATCAAAATTAAAGGAAACAGAAGTCAAAACCTAATAGGAAAAACAGCATAATAATATTTTTCACATAAAAGATAGGTGCCAACAAGTTCTCTTTAGCCAGGCAAAGATAAGAATCACATCAGATTTGTAACAAAAAAGGACAAATTCAAAATCATTGCTATAGAGCTGCGGATGAAACTCAATCTAGCTTGGTAAAACTAACTTGCCTCCAGTCACAATACACATTGCTTAACTAATTGTTTGAAGGAGATTCAGCAAAATTGCTAAAATAAACAAAAAGGGGGGGGGGGGGGGGCAAGAGGAAGCAGAAATATTTTTTAAAAATAAAACAGGACACAAAATCATCTAACAGATCAAGACTTCTGCTCTTCCTCTGCAGTTGCTTCGAAGGTCTCACCAGCAACAAGCTCGGGAACCTCATCATCGTCATCCTCAGCAACATTAGCTCCAGCTCCATCAGCATTAACATTAGGTGCCCTGTTCTGGAACTGCTCGGCCAACTTCCTCAAGTTGTCCAAGTTATCAGGTCCTGAGACATCAGAGCATGGGTATTAGAAAATAAACTAAGTAGATTAGTAGAGATATTAATCTTCAGGAAAAGGATAGGACTGTAAAACACTTACCCAATTGATTGATGATTCCAGGAAGGATATCTTGCAATTCTGAAAGACAAAAGCAACTTACTCGGTTAGAAAGCCAGGTAATTTGTATTTACTAATAGGAAAAAAAATGATGAAATTCAACAAGTGAAGATATAACATTGAAAATAGAGGAAAGAAAGGTCCATACTCTTGGTTTGTGGTGTACCACTTACAACCCAGGTATTAGCGGCAATAGATGCTTGAACTGTGAAAAAAATTAAAAAGAATAATCATATCAGCAAAAGGAACAGACAATAGACCAATAAGTTGACCATATCAACATATCCTCAATACATGTGCTTCATCAAACAGCTCGACTAACCTTTAGGGTTAACAAACTGTATAACTTGATCATCCTTGAAGATATTCACTTCTTCGATTTGAGGGATAGCGTTCACACCTATTCTTTTCAAGGTGCTCTGCAACCTTTTGTCATCTGTAGTGGTAGTTTTGTGGACGGCCTTCTTCTTTCTGCAATCAGCAACACATATAATCTTAGAAAGAATTTGAATGTAATCTATCCATACATGAAAGATAATTAGCAGATAGAGGACCAAAAAACGCTTTCAAACAAGTAAATTCACATTAAACAGAATCATTGGGAAAACACAGTTCACAAAACTACACCATCCCAATCCACACAAGTATATTAACATCCTAATCATGACTTGAAATGACATTTTATCCTCAATTCCATCTGACTGAGACATGTAACTCTCCAAAGCACACAAGAAAAAACTCAGTAATGAAGGCAGCAAAGAGCTGGGATAAATGATAAAAAGCCGTATATGTAGACGAGTTCGGCGCTACACCGACAGAACAAATGGATAGTAATGACATATACACACACAACTAGGTTTTTCTTATCCAAGTGATGTATGCATAGTTATTATTTTCAAATGGAATTTCTACAACACATCATTAATAACAGGCATTTCTATAACTACTGAAACATTCAACCACAATTCCTAGCCATAATTCAGCAGCATGCTAAAACAAAAATCATACCTTCTCACGCTACCCTTTCCACCAGTGCGGACCGCACCGGCCATCTTCTTGAGCTTCTCGACATTCATCTAAAGAAAGAAGCAAGAAATAAGTTACAGTGATCAACTGAAAGTCTGAAACTTAAAAGCTCATAATTCATTTATCATCTAATAAAAACCCTAACTTTTTTTGGGCAGCCAATATTTAACAATCCAAGCAACTTAGCAAATCAATACAACATACAGCAATCGGAACACCAAAACTTCAACAAAATCACGTAATAATCTCAATTCACAGATAAATCTCAGCAACATTTCAAGATGGTATGCATAATTTGTGCTTCAATACTAAATTAGCCAAGAAATGCAGCTAAAAATGCCTTAAAACATCCTATTCTCAAAACTTGGGCATTTTTTTCACATCAATTCTTTAAACCCAATAAAATTATACAAGTAAATGAAGATTCAATAAAAACAAAAAAGACGATACGTGCAGATTTAAATAACACAACAGTACAATGAAAAACCCTAATCTAAAAAATCCACAATCAAAACCATCCAATAAACAAAAAAATTACCCAAATTAATAATAATCAATTAAAAACACAGAAAAACCACTCTAAAACCCTAAAAATCAACAAATTACTTATGAGATTTTATAAAACCCTAAAAATAAACAGATTCATTAAAACCCTAATCGAACAAAAACAAATCGATAAAATGGTACAAAAATGAAAAGAATGAAAATGAAATATACCTTAAAGAAGATGAAGAAATGGAGATGAGAGGAGAGAGAAAGAGGTGGACGGCAGTTGCCGCTGAGCAAAGGACTAGGGTCGAGGAGAGAGAAAATGAGGGAAAAGGGGTTTAAAGAAAGGAGTGAGAGTGTGAGGCTATTTCTACTTATCTCATAATCTTCTTCATTTTATATCTCTCGTTCTCATCCTACGGTTCATATTTACTCCCATTTTACTCTTCTCTTTCTGTTTTGCTCAGCCCAAACCCCATTTTTGTTTCTGGCCCAAATGTCATTGATAACTTATTCATAGCCCATATACTTAAAAATTTAAAAAAAAAATAACACTTAATTATACTTCTTTCGTTCTATTAATATTGCAACAATAGAATTTTTGCAGTATTCATCACTCTTGTTTGACCATATAATATGAGTTTTACGTTAAGAAAAATATAGTCAAGTGGGATCTTGTTGGATTCGTCTCATTTAATACTTTCACAATATCAACTTTTTATAATTTTTACTCTTACACAATTATAGATATTTAGCATATAAAATGTGCTTTGGGATGCGTAATTTCCTCCTTGTTGCAATATTAACAGAACGGAGGAAGTATATCATCATTAATTCATTATCATGGCTAGCTACACTGCATTTTTCCCTCAAATTAAAAACCTACACTGTATTTTTTTTATTTTTATTTTTTTGAAAATATTTTCACACAGTTTTATATGTGGCTGGTCACCTAGTGCGGCTTGGGGGTCGGTCACAGGTTATTTGGTAAAGGATTACTCGATCAATCAAGGGTTACTCGGTCAGGGTTTGATGTGTGTCAACCGGCCACATAGAAAACAAGCTGTAAAATTTAAGGAGGTAAAAATAAAAATAAAATAAAAATTGAGATGTTAATTTAAGTGCCTTTTCAAAATAACGTGTTAAATTATATATGTAAATAATCTTAATTATAATCAAAGTATTTACATGTATCTAATAACTTAAGGTATGTTCACATTTACTGAACTAAGCTAAATTGAACTGATTGGAGTTGAACTGAGCTAAACTAAACTGAATGGAGCTGAGCTAAAATGAACTAAACAGAATAGAGATGAATTGAATATTTTATGAGAGAAGAAAATTATAAGCTAAACTGAACTGAGATTAAGCTGAAGTGAACATACCCATAACATATTTAGTAGAAAAAAATTGAAAATTAAAAAAAATAAAATAAAACAAATATAAGGAAAATTGAGGATGAATTAACATCGATCTGTGTGATTTTGTCATGAATTTCCAACTTATGGCATGTTCTGATTGACTGAACTTAACTGAAATGAACCGAACTGAATTAAACTAAATATTTTATGAGAGAAGGAAATTAAGAACTGAACTGAACTGAAAATAACCTGAAAAGAACAAGCCCTTACTTCAATTTTAAGAAAGTTGTTTAATGTTTATATATAGCCCTAAGGGATACATATATCATTATCCTAAATTTCTTACTAAAACTTTGAGATATAGATTAGCCCTTTTAATTTTAACACCTTATGAATTTCATTATTACCCTTTTTATTTCAATTTAATTATCAATTTCATAATTACATGTATCGTTGTCAAATGTCCTAAACACAGCCTATAAATTTTACATCAAAAGCTAACAAATAGATTCATTGGAACAAATAAAAAATATATATATATATAAAATAAAAAAATAAAAAATAAAAAAACAACTTTTTTATAAAAGGTTTTTATTAATAAAAATACTAGGTTGCGAGTAAGAAATCTTGAGTAACAAGTATTAATCACTTTGTATGTATGCAAAACTATTTAATAATATAATTATGTATAATTAATGAAATTATAGAGTTGATGTCTAGAGTATACACATTGACAAAAATCTAATTTCATGGTATTATACATCAATATGTACATACGAGTAAGAAAATACATTTGAAATGTGATTACTAACATATTTGTTTGTGCCTATTTTATAAGGTTAGAACGTGACAAGCGTAACAATCTCAAGAAATTATTCTATATAAATGATACTTTGTATTAAAAGTCCTATCATCAATTAGGAGCTCCATTAGAGCATCTCCAATAGCTTTGTAGCTTGCTTTTTCACATTAATCTTTAAGCTACACCACTTTTTAGCAACAAAGTGTTCCAATGGTAAGCTACAACCTTTTTTAGTTTGTAAAAAATAAATTTTACAAAATAAATAAATAATTATACATATATTACAATATGAGTGGAATTTATTTGTCTATGTTTCAATTAAGCATGTAGCTTGTCTGAGCTACAATTGCTAGCATGTTGCTCAATTTTTTTGTTTTCCAATGGTAAGCATGTAGCTAGCTAGGAATTTTATTAATATTGCAAGCAGGTCCTTACAATTAAACCATTGGAGATTCTCTTACAATATTCGAAAATTACAACTCTTTCTTTCATTTATAGTGTGAGTACCATTAATATTTTGTCTTATATTCCCTCTAAAAAAAAAAACTTTTGTCTTATATACTCAGAAAATTATAAAATATGTATTATTTACATTTAATATGCGTGCTCAATTCTAAAAAAAAATGATTTGAGATCAAAAGAGGAAATTGAATATTTTCAAATGCCAAGAATATTGTTCTAACAAAACAATAAATAACATAATATTTAATTATGTTTTCTCAAACCAAATATTATCTCGATCGATTTAAATATAAAGGAAAAAAAATGAACACTACGCGAAAAAGTGATTTTTTTTTGTCCAAATAAAATGCACCAATCATTCAAACATAACGGTATATTACTGATGGATTACCGTTTAACACATATTTTTAATTTTGTTATTATAAACTCTAACTAAATCTTATAAATCGTCGCTTCCAAAGAAACTGTCGCTAGAAATTTGTAATAATCATTTAAATTGTCGGTTTTTTGTCAAAATTACCAATGGAAGTAAATCATTGATATGATTAACACCTTCTTTTTATTTGGTAGTGTGAATATGAATATAAAACTCATATCATAAGTAAATGCAACAGTTATATAATCATCAAGGAATATATTTTGCTTGGTTAATATCCAATAAAGTTATTATTATGTAACCAATAACCAACCAAAATGAATATTCCACTAAAAAAAACTAAATTCTAGATAAGCAATAATAGTTATAACTTACAATAACAAAAAAAAAAAAAAAAGTCAATTTTTCTAACAAGAGTACAAAAACTAAAACTTTGTAATATTTAAATCAAATGCATATCAAATGCATACAGTTTACTTTGAATGCAACATCTAGAATTATACAAACAAACACTTTATCAATAATAAATTTTCTTCATTTTATCGATCATTAGTAGCTCAAGTACTTTTTATTGACAAGTTGATAATAGATCCATAAGCTAGTGTTTAAACTTGTTGGATGAATATAACTTATAGCAACACATCAATTATCATAATACAAGTATATATTTTTAAACTCCATTGATAATCGAATAAATTAAACATTTTAATTTGATATGCGAAATATGTGAAACCCATGCTTAATAATGGTATTAATGCAAGATCCTTTACCTAGATCTCATAATTAATTTAATTTAATTCTCATAATTTTCATTTTGGAATATTGGAGGAAGAAGTCCCTTTGTTCTACAAGTCTCAACAGCTCCTTTGTACATGTCCTTCAATCCGTACTTGAACTTGAAATTTAATCCCATCAGTTTTTCAGAAGAAAAATGCACGCATTCCATATCTTCTTCAAAATCCTTAAATCTGTCCAATAGTTTGTTGAATAAGTTTTAAAAATTGAAAAATCATTCAAATACAATTATATATATTATGAACTAATTTGATAAATATTTGTTGCACGTTTAATTAATATTGTATCAATTTATAATATGATGACTACATACAATTATGACATCATATCGATCATATGGAGTAATTAATTGCTACATACTTGGTGGGTATGTTGTATTCAGGGTACTCCTCCTTCAACATTTTCCCAATATCATAGATGGTAGCATCACAAGCAGAAGCAATGTAACGCCCCTCGGCCTTAGGATGTTCATACAAGTATATATGAGCCATACAAAGGTCATCCAAATGCACAAATTGGCCTTGCTTAATGATTGAATAATGAGCTTCATTTCCTACAAATTATATCAAACCACAATTAATTAATGACACAAAAATACATGATTAATTATCAAATAATCTAGCAAATTATTACTTACTTGTAATTGGAGATAACGCAGTTATAAGACTAGGTGGCATTGTTGGAGTTATAAAAGGTCCAACTACCAAAGGTGGAATAATACTGATAAAATCAAGATTATTTTCAGCAGCAAATTTCCATGCAGCTTTTTCTGCTAGTGTTTTAGATACAAAATACATCTGAAATCATATAATAAAACCATATATTAAAATAAAAATCTTGAAAAGTTTGGAATTAATTTGTATTATTGAAAATAATTACTCTGTTAATTACCCATCCAGTCATCTTCTTAGAGCGGCAAAACTCCATGTCACTCCAACAAGTTTCATCATAAACAGGTTTTTGGATTTCTTCTACATTGACAGTTCCTGCAGATGATGTGAACACCAATCTTCGAATTTTCGCCTTGATGCATGATTTCATTATGTCTAACATGCCGTTTATGGTAGGCCTAATCACCTCATTCTGTAACCAAAATGACACCCAAACTATTAGAAACTAAACATATTTTTTTAAGTGTCTAACTCGAAGTTTCGAGGTAAAAGTTGTAGGTTGAGATTAAACATAGGGTGCTGATTAACCTCAGGATCATTGGAATCAAAGTCCATAGGGGTGGCAACATGAAAGACACCGGTGCAACCATTAATGGCTTCGTCGAAGCTTCCTTCTTCATTAAGGTCTGCTTTCCATAGTGTCAAGTGAGTCTTTGCATTTGGCAAGTCCAACAAATGTTGTACTTTTTTCATGTTACCTACAAAAAAAAAATAAAGTTAGCAAGTATTTAATGTATAAAAATATTTGAATGTAGGTATAACACTAGTAACTTAGTAGTATATAGCTAGTAAAAAGACCAGGGTCTCGAACAGTAGCTCGGACAATGTAGCCATGCTCGAGGAGCCTCTTGATGAGCCATGAGCCAATGAACCCAGCTGCACCAGTAACACAAACAATTTCTCCTTGAACAACCATTTTTGAATTAGATAGTACAAGCTTATTGAATTGTTAGATGTTGTTATATTTTGGCTTTGGAAGTTTTGGACCGTTACATATTTCTAATGTATGTTACTTTGGTTATATATAATGTACTGCGTCAGTGGACGAGTGCTCTATTGGACGGATCATATGCCATATTATATTATGATCATTTTATTGCATAGTTTTTTTTAGATGAAGATTAAGGTTAAATTGATTTTAGGGGTATAGTAATGGTAGGTGAAGAATGGAAGATAAGAAGCAAGGTAGGTTGAGGAATCTCGTGACCAAGTAGCTAGGTTGGATAATTAGGTCACTATTAAACCAACGGTAGAGGCATAAGCTAAATAAAGTACTATCTCAAAAAAAAATTAGAGCCCGTTGATACTTTAGCTAATACGACGATTGTATTACTCCGTACATCACTTCTCCATTTAACATACTTTAAATGAGTGACAAGTTAGGATAACACAAATTATAGACATAAGTGGAGATATTTGAACCCGTAACTTATCACACATAAGCCATCAGTCTTAACCTTATAGCAAAACCTCATCGATAATCGATTCCTTTTGTAGTAGCACATCGAGTTCATAAATAGAGAACCAGTACTCGAATGGAATGAATTGGTCAGTTATAATTTTTTATTTTTTATTTTTTATTTTTTATTTTTTTGGAATGAGTCGTGTAGGCAATACTAATTAAATTTGAGATCCCCAAAAAAAAAAAAAAAAAAAACTTATTACAATCAGAAGGTTACTTCACTAACTGAGGCCATTGTTAAAAATTGTAGAATTGTAGGCCAAAAAAATTGAACCCACGGTTAATAAGAGATTTGAACCCATAATTTTTCGTACACAAGCTCTCAGTCTTATTACAATCATGATTTGTAGGCCAAAAATCTCTTGTAGGTAGATCCCGTTTTAAAGTACCCATAACAGCATATATAACTCCATAAGGTTACTTCACTGACTGAGCCCATTGTTTAAAATTGTAGAATTGGTAAGAGAAAAAAGCCCATTTAGGCTCTTATGTGCCAGCATTGCTGCAAGCAGATTGCTTTGTTGGCCACAAAAATCTTGATTTGTAACTGAAACCTAATCACCCAAAACTGATCCCCGAATCCGGATTAACCTAAAGGATGAAACGGGTAAAAAAAATTTAAAAAAAAAAATGATTTGTGATTATACCTAGTTTTGCTTGCTATACGACTCAATCTAGACTAATTGACAAGAGATCCCATTTTGGGTGAGAAAGATGAAAGTGTCTTGCTCTGAACAGCAAACTACTTATGAAATTTCAAAAAACCGTTCAACAAAATACTCTCTAACATGTTACATGAAACATGCTGTACATTGATTAGTAGAACTCGGTAATGACGACTTTTTAAACCATGTTAATCGATTCTTTTAATTTGCCCTTTATTGTACTGTATTTATATGTTAGGGAGGAATTGATGATAGTATGGAACACCTTTTTCAAGAACCAATTAAGCTGATGGCTAAACATTTGAAAGGAGTAATATTCTAATTAATTAATTAAGACATGAGACTATTATTTAGTCGCGATCTTAATGTAAAAGGAACATGGAGGTGTTATCCACTTAGATAACAGTATATGCTTAATTGAGATTAGCCAGGTAACACAATGACATAAAAAGTCATATTTTAATTAATTAAGTGTATAATAATAGCTAATACTAAGTTATTTAATTAGGGAGTACTACTACACACGATGATGAACATGTTCCCATTGAATAATTTATGTTTATGAGAATTGTCAATTTTGGTGATGGCCGGTGTATTATCGACGACTTGACATTTTCCTCTCCTTAATCCACTAGACTAAGTTTTTTTTTTTTAATTTTTTTGTATTCTAAATAATAATAATGATAGCAAAAATGTGTAACTCTATAGGACTATATATAACCCTAAAGTTCTAAGAAGAAAATTCATCAGCTGACATACCAAGTATATATAATCTTCTTGATCTTTAAAAAGTATCAAATTTATCTGTAAGTTGATTTAATTTTAAGTTATGTCTGATAGCGAGGAGAAAAAGCACCACCACTTCTTCCACCGCCACAAGGAGGAGGCAGATGAGGAGCCTAAGGACCCCGAACAGGAGTATAAGCATCACAAGGTCCTTGGACACGTTAGCAAGGCTACCGCCGTTGCTGCTGGTGCTTATGCCTTGGTACGTACATTTTTTTTTTTACATATTCTTATTCATATAGTCATGTGTACGTTATGCTTATACACATTTTGATTCAATACAATGAATAATCTTTATTAAGATGACCTCCATGACATTCGATATAAAATAAGGATTGAATGTGGTAAATTATGCACTTTCAATCTTCTAAGTAACTCAAAAAACAATACTATATATGCATATGTTGTCGTGTCAAATTAGAGAAAAATAGACCATATGTGACATGGTGTTTTATGTATGTACAGCATGAGAAGCATAAGGCAAAGAAGGATCCAGAGAATGCTGACCGCCACAAGAAAGTAGAGGCGATCGCAGCCACGGTTGCAGTGGGAGCTGGTGGATTTGCATTCCATGAACATCACAAGAAGAAGGAAGCCAAGGAAAAGCTCAAAGAGGAGAGTGGTCATTAAACTAAAATTTAAACCGTGTGTTTGGTTTTTGTTCTAATAAATACTCTGTAATTTGCTGTGAAACATGGGAGAAGACTTTATAATCTCACATTTTAATTATTTTGTGCTGTGAATTGATTTAGTAATTGTGATTGTAATTTTGCACCAACGAAATATTAATGCCAAAAAAAAAAAAAAAAAAAAAAAAAAAAGATTGCCTTATATGCCCGTGAAGTGTTCGAGCTTTACCATGACATGACTACCAATCCAATAAGTTATAATGAAATTTATATAAATATATAAGTCGAGACATTATAAATAAATTCTTATTTATAGTTAGTCGCATTATCATTGAAGTTACTCTTTTGGACAAATAAGATTTAGATGGAGTTAAATAAATGACTAAAATAATTCTTATAAGCAAATTAAATGTGGTATACTAGCCAGTCAGACACAAGACTTACATTGTAATTTTGACACAAATCTATATCTATACTTAGTATTTAAAAACAAAAACCACAAATTTTTTACATGACACATGACATCACAATTCATTAGACACTCATCACCCCCATATGCCACATGTCAACTCGCTTAGTATTTATGTTTAAGTCTTTATGCATTATATAACTTGCAAATTCAAGTAAGAAAATGAAGTGTTTTATTTTCACCATAATAAAATAATGTTTTAATTAATACACATTACATAAACATATAAATTATAATGAAAATTGTCTTTTCATTTCCTAGACTTTAAATATAATTTAAAATAATGTCATTTTATATCCCATATAATCTTCACGTGTATATATCTAACTAAATTTATTCATCTTCTTTCATAGTGCTACCCTCTCTCTTTTTTTCTTTTAAGTTTTAAAAATAAAACAATCTTCCTACATTTGAAAATAATTAACCTAAGTAATAGTGCATTGAACGGGCCAAAAAGCTAATTTGTTTAAAACATCTGATCCAGGCAACACAAATATGAAATGTTCGTGTCAACTCTAAATAATATCGTGTATGGAATGTATGATCAGTTTAATGGTTGGTGGATGTAGTCCGGTTTTTTTATTTTGCTACTAGTTCTATCCAATAAGTAAAAGAAAAGTTATATCATCATAATTTCAATAACTTTAAACCTTAATAATCCAACATAGTCATCCCCTTAGGCCCCCGTTCACTTCACCTTATTTTTGTAGAACTGATTTATTTTTATTTTTTTTTTGAAAAAAGTCCTAAAGGACACTAAATTTCATTAATATAAGTCATACGACATCTACAGTTGACAATGAACGATAATGAGAACGAATTTAACAAAATCAAACAAGAATTAATCGGGGAAGGGCTAAGAATCCAAATACATAAATATAACAATTCGGCATATTCTCAATTTGTTGTCTCATACAACTTTTTAAATGGATCCGTCGTCGTTTCACAATTTTGTGAGAAAGAAAATTCTTGTGCTGATTCCGTAACCCGAATCCGAGCCATAATCAATATTAGCCCCGTACAACCGGAGACCAAATTAAGCATAAATAAAACCTTGTCTTTCGAAGGAGTACGGAAAACCTTGTCTTTCGAAAGAGATTGAAAAAACCTTGTCTTTCGAAGGAGATAAACCCTTTCTTTCGAGGGAGACATTATTGTAACCTAAAACAAAAACCTTAAAAGAAAATAAAAATTGGAGCTTTTTACCAGTGAAATCTGATGGAAGCCCCTTTAAAATTGACAATGGAGACTAGGTTTAGGAGAGAGAAGAGAGAAAAGGAGGTTAGGGTTTTTAGCATTACTTTTTTTTAAACGACTATAAACACTTTGTTGAACTGAATTTATTTAAACTAAACTGAAATTATTTTTGTTGATCTTAAATTATCTTTACTGAACTGAAATTAATTTTACTAAACGAAAATTATTTTTGCTGCACTGAAATTATTTTTACTGATTTATGTTTACAGATTTTTACTAAACTGAAATTATTTTTACTCAACTGAAATTACTTTTGCAGAATTGAAATTATTTTTACTAAATTGAAATTAATTTTACTGAACCGAAAATATTTTTACTGAATATTATTTTTTTAATGTGAAGTGAACAAGGCCTTATAGTCTTACTAATTTTTAATTTATTTTTACAAATTGTCGTATTACCCTATCAAATCTCTATTTAAAAAGTACAAATCGTTAAAAGGTATATAATAATTATATTAATATCATCACGGGCTTCAACCATAATAAGCTAACTTAAGCCCCGTTCACTTCACCTTATTTTTGATGAATTGAGATTATTGTTACTGAAACAAAATTATATTTACTGAACTTGAATTAATTGAATTGAACTGAAATTATTTTTGTTAAACTGAAATTATTATATTTTTTTTTACTAATTTTCTATTATAATTCTTCTTTAAGAAAACTGAATTTTCCTGAACTAGACTTATTTTTACTGAACTGAAATTATTTTTACTGAACTGAAATTACTTTTACTTTATATTATTTTTTAAAGGTGAAGTGAACAGGGTCTTACTACTTTATATTGAATGACTATAATTTGTCATTGATGACCAAAATCCTTCAAATTTCAACAACTAATCAATCAAGCTGATGGCTAAGCATGTGAATGGAAAGAGTATTATACTCTGTAATAAACCAATTTAGATTATAAAAAAATCCATGACAGAATAAATTAGTCAATCTTAAGGTATAAGGAACACATCACCTTAAGGAATTTATGAATTATCCACTAATAAACCAATTAAAAGTCAAAGCTTATTGGTTAAGATTAATTGACCAAATAACGCGCCAATTGTAATACAGGGAGTTACATAGTATGTTCTGATGTTCACATACATTAGATTATTTGGTTTGCCAATTGTCAATTTTGGTTGTACTGTGGGTGTATGATTGATGACCAAACATTAATTAACATAAGATATTTTTTTCTAGATGATTGTTACAAAAATATCTAGCTCAAGTGGCCTATATATATCCTTAAGTTTCCTAGGAAAAAAATCATCAATTGATACATAATTTCATTCAATAATAGTACACTTCTAGTTCTCATAAAAAAAAAAAGTTGCTTCATTTTGTGAGTTGATTAGAAAACAATGGCCGATGGCGAAGAGAAGAAGCACCACCACCTCTTCCACCGTCACAAGGAAGACGAGGAGCCTAAGGATCCCGAACAGGAGTTGAAGCATCACAAAAACCTTGGCCACATTAGCAAGGCTACTGCCCTCGCCGCTGGTGCTTATGCCTTGGTACCTTTTTTTTTATACATGCAATTAATCTTTATTACGGGGTTTAATCACGTATATGTACGTGGTAGATTGAGTTTAATCATGGGGCTTAAGCTAGTTTTTTTTTTCTATTTCAAATCTAAAATAATAATTTTATGTACTACGGTACATGCTATGTACAAAGTATATGTTAGGGTGACAACTTTAATGAGCATATTAGTGAAATTGATCATATAAGTGATATAACATGGGAATTATCTTATGTCTATGTACAGCATGAGAAGCATAAGGCGAAGAAGGACCCGGAGAACGCTCACCACCACAAGACAGCAGAGGAGATCGCAGCCACGGTCGCGGTGGGGGCTGGTGGATTTGCATTCCATGAGCATCACAAGAAGAAGGAAGCCAAGGAAAAGATCAAAGAGGGTCACAGCGGCTATTAAACTTAATTAATGCTTTAATTTGTGTTATAATCTAACTCTTATAAATAATTTGTTGTGAAGAAAGGGGTGAGGACTTTCTTAATTTGTTTCCTCACATTTGTAATTTGTGTCATGATTTTGCATCGATATGTAATTATAAAATAATCCAAAAAAAAAATCTTGTGCCTATTATATAGTTGTATATGCCTATTGAACGATTTTTATATTCGCATTGTATTTTAAAAATTAGACTTAAGGTGCATATACAAAAAATGGCTTATGCCATACCTTAGATCCTTGATTGATCTAATTCAAACTCGAAAACTTGATTTAGACTACAAAGCATGAAATATGTATATACCTAAGATCGCATCCATGGATTAAAAATGGTGGGTGAATACAACCGTATATTTCTTTATTACCACTGTAATGAATATAAGAAAATCTATGCTATAATAGGGATTGCTAAGTTTTTCAACACCAAATCCTATGCATGTCTATATGACTAAATCCAATTAGATATTATCTCATCCAACAGCTATTGTGGTCCATATTTCTGTCCAACTCAAAATATCCATTGGGATTTTGGCAGTATGAACTTTATTTATTTATTTTTTCAAAAAAAAAATTAAAAAAAAAAAAATACTCCACCTATGAAAAGGACATCAATATTATTATTAAAACTCAAATGCCAGGAGTGTCATATCGCCATGTGTCACTTTCTTTTTCTTATTTAGACACGTCATCGATTAAACTGCCACATAATATAATCGATTACATGTACATGTTAAATATGTGTCAATAAATTATACTCCGTATGATAAATTAATTAATTGTATTATAGTATTGATTGTATAATAATCAATTAAATCAGTTGTTACAAAAAAATAATTTAATTAATTTTCATCACTCAAAATAAGTTTTGTAATCGATTGTATTTATTTTGATCTCAATTAGAACGATGAATAATAAATTGCTTTGACCCACTTAATTTGTAACCGGTATGTACTTGATGTGATTTACTTATTGAAAGTTTTCCTATCAAAGTTTAAATATACCAATGTAAAAAAAAATATTAAGTAATATCCACAATCTTCCAAAAAAAAAAAAAGAGAGAGAAGAAATAAATTTGAGGCATCGCCCGGGTCACTAACTAGTTTTATCAATTATTAATCGTTGGATTAGTAGTTTGGTCCGAGTACAATTATAGGGACTTTTAGTTCGAACATTTTTGTAAGTTTTGTTGATCTGTGGGCCTGTGGCTATCCATAATCTTAGTGAGCTTAGAAGCTTTTCATGATTGGGCTCAGACAATCAAAATAATACTTCCTCGGCCCAAACCATCAAAATAATACTTCCTCCATTTTTTTTTACTTGTAACAATTCTCATTTTATGTTTGCCAATGTGATTCTTTAATCAATTATATCTCACAAATCTAAAAAAACAAACAAACAAACCCTAAATAGTTTATTAACCTCATTATCGTACTTTGTACTGCATTTATCTTATGTTGAAGTGTAAACTTTCTAAACAATATGATGTATCTCATGTTGAAGAAAGACAAGAGGATTAAACATTTGATAAGGTTAAAAGATTACTCTTTTTATAATCATATAATTTTGAAATGAAATTCATAAAATAAACTCTCTGGATGCGGCCCAGACCCATATTTAGCATCTTCATTTTCTCACTTAGTCACTTATTCGGTTCGTAGTATATTTACAACTCCAAATTAAGATGACAGGTAGTGGGAGATTTCCTACCTTTTTCATAATAACCCTTATTAAAGGCAATAATAATCGCAAAAGATGACATTATGAATTAATGATGTGCAATCGTGCATGAGCATGAAGCATTTTTAGCGAAGTAACGTTACAATTACGGAGTTGTGTATCAACTTACCCCTTATCACAAACTCACACGTTAACCTCGGAAAGGCAATAATTTGACTCATCTATGTGGCGGCATTGGCTCGTCACGCTAATTATTATACATGTACAAATTCTTAAATGGACCTGGTTCACACTAATTTATTATAGACCATTAATATTAGGAAAACTATGGTTGTTTTATTAGTTAAAAAAAGAGTCACTATAATAGAAAAAAGGTCTATATGTTGAAATAAAAGTCATTTTGATAATATATAGGCTATAAGAGGTTAATTTTTTTAATAAAATATTTTATATACCGGTTAATATGAATAATAAAAGTCACTATGTTAAAATTAGGGTCATAACGTTATACTTTAAGTTCACAATAATATTATACGTTATACTAGTTTTAATAAAGGTTACTATGTTAAAAATAGGGTTACTATGTAAAAATTAAAGGTTACTATGTTCAATATAATGTCAGTTGCGTATGTATAAACCTCGGGTCCACAATAACATTATTGTGGACCAGGTCCACGCAAGTCTTTTTGTTATACATGGATCTTTCATTCAGGCATTCTTTCCTACTGTTAACTTGTTAAGTGGATTATAATTTATAATACATATACACACAGAGGAGGTATATACCGCTATACGGTATTAGGACTAATTTTTCCTCATTTGGAAGATTATTGTTTATTTAGGGTTTGATCACATTTATTGAACTAAACTGAATTGAACTGAACTGAACTGAACTGATTGGAGCTAAACTGAACTGAATTGAACTGATTGGAGCTGAATTGAACTGAGCTGAAATGAATACTTTATAAGAGAGGAAAATTAGGAACTGAACTGAACAGAATGAACTGAACTGAATTGAACTGAAATTAAGTAAATGTAAATATGCTCTTAATCATCATATCAAGAGTAAACTTGAACCATGGGTTGAGATGTACGCACCAATGCACCATGCACTGGGTGTCCAAGTGTTTATAAAAAGTATCATCATTTTTTAAAATGCATCACTTATCTTATTTGAATTGTATTTTTTGTACTCCGTAAATATATATATATAAATATATATATATATATATATATATATATATATATATATTATATATATATCACTTAATAAAAAAAATTGATTTATTAAGGTGATAGACTTATTTTTTCTGATAACAAACTTTGTTTTTGTGGCATAGAAATGACATAGGAAAAAGTTCAAACAATTTAAAATAATTTATGGTCCAAACTTTTTCTCATAAGTTACAACCCTATATATACACACACAAACGCACGTAATACTACCACGATTACAATCTAAAACAAATTGTATCACCAAGAAAAAGAAAAATGAAGGCATGGGGATTAATTTTGCTAGTTTTTCTGCTAAATATCCAAGAAAAACCAGTAAAAGCAGAGGATGGATTCATCACAACAAAAGGGGTACAATTTTGGTTAAATGGGATCCCATTTTACTCAAATGGATTCAATGCATATTGGTTAATGTATGAGGGTTCTGATCCTTCTCAAAGACACAAAGTTTCAGGTGTTTTTCAACAAGCTTCAAATCATGGCCTCTCTATTGTTAGAACTTGGGCTTTTAGCGACGCCGGTTATCGACCGCTTCAATACTCCCCTGGTTCTTACAATCAACAAATGTTCCAAGTAAATCCTTTTCTTCATTTTGTAATTTCTGTTACAGAATACTTTTATGTAATTACCTCCGTTAACTTTTAGTTGTAACAAAAGGGTATTATTTGTGAGATGTAAAATATTCCTGTGTTGCAGCTAAAAATTAACGAAGGTAGTATTTTTTTTGGGTTTTTTTTTTTTTTTTTTTTTTTGTTCTGATTATAAGTAAATTGTGGTTTTTATTGGGTGTTTATGAAGGGTTTAGATTTTGTGTTGGCTGAAGCAAAGAAGTATGGGATTAAGGTGGTGTTAAGCTTGGTGAACAATTATGATGAATATGGAGGGAAGAAACAGTATGTGGAGTGGGCTAAGAGCAAAGGACAGTCTTTGTCATCTAAGGATGACTTCTTCACTAATCCTGTTGTTAAGGGATTCTACAAAAATCATATTAAGGTAATCATCTCGACATCGGAACATCTACTATGTCATCTATACATTGTTCTATACATTGTTCTATGTCACCAGTCTTACGTAGTATAGAATGTCTAGAAAAAGTTGTCACCTTCTTAATGGTTTACAAATTTTACAATGTCATTACTCGAGTTATAAGTAGTTGGGAGACTAGTAGTTTTAAATCGAGAATCAGGTCAATGTCAATTAGCTTATTTGGGTAAAGTATGCGAATTTGGTTAATTCCTTTTATGGATGTCAAAGCAGTTATTATGGTCAGCAAATTAACATTTGTAGCTATACATATAGTCCTTAATAAGGGAGTTGGGACCAAAAAAATTAATTATGTGATTATAATTAGTAAATTATGATTTGAAAATTACTGTACAGACTGTATTAACAAGAGTAAATAGCATTACTGGAGTTGCTTACAAAGATGATACAACAATTATGGCTTGGGAGCTTATGAATGAGCCAAGATGTCCTTCTGATCCTTCTGGAAAAGTACTTCAGGTTAGTTCAACCTCTCCCTACTTAACTATGACTACTTTAAATTACTACTTTTTAAAAAATTTGACTCTCTTTTTATTGTTAACTTACATTGTACTACTAGCATTTATTTTGATGTTTGATGAAAAGGATCTCATCGAATTTATCTGAACTTATTGACGTTAATAATGTGTCTAAACTTATTGGTTCCTCATAATCAACGTGTTTTCGTATTACTAGAAGAAAGATCAAATCCGCACATTGTGGTAAAAATAGCCAAATCAAAGAGTATAATGTCAGTCATATAATCACATGCATAGTTGCAACCAACTAACATTTTTGTTGATAGTATTAAGGCTTTTTAAGTTTGGCACGGAATCTATGATCCTCCAACCATACAAAGAAAGGTTGACATAATGAAGGTGATGTTACATACATACATTATTAAGTTGTAACGTAAAAGAGTGACTACATTGCATTCCTTTTGCCACATTATATAGTGTGTGCATATATTATGCCAAATTCATGTTGATGGAGTGATGGATATTTCCTCAGTTAGGAAGATGGAATTAAATGCTTCAAAATTCGATCACCTTTTCTTATGAAAGAAAGTAAGTAAACATCGATGATCGATCTCATTTTTCTGTAAATGTTTTGTTAACCCGTAAATTTAGGGCAACATTCATTATTAATTAAGCATAATAGAGAAAATAAATGTCGCATTATTATATTTATGAGGGTTTTCTCTCTCTTTTTCATGAGTTGTCAATGTTACATATTAATGGATGTCTTACACTCTTACTCTCCTCTTTAAATTCTACCTTTCGCACTCACTCCACATAGTGACCTAGTGATATTGAGTGTTTTGGACATGCCAATGTGGCAATGGTGGCTTTTAGGAGGAGATGGTGGTAAAGGCATTGATTACGGCAATTGGCAGCGCCAACGACAATGGTACGAGTATTGGTCGAACATGCAATGAGTCTACTGGTGTGAATGTGGGTGGCAGTGGTCAAAAACGCTGGTGACATGGTAATCGAAGGTGTTGTCGTAGACTCGTGGTATATAGGGTGGTCGTGTGGTCGTGCCTATAAGGCTATAACTACTCATAGAGATGGTAATAGTTTAGACCAAGTCAGTTTCAGTTTGGTTCATCTACACTAGGAACCAAATACATTCATGAACAAGAATCAAAAGATGCTCCTAGTTAAGTTCTTTCCTAACTTGTATTCCGACCTTATAAGCCATACAAAAACATACAACATACTTGGACAAAGAACAAAGAACAAAATACAAAAAACATAGATATTGGTGAAGATAATTCTGAACTTCTGATATTATCTCAGTCATTTTTAACTGTACTCTGAAGTAGTCTTTTTCCTGTTTTCAGGATTGGATCAGTGAGATGGCTTCCTATCTAAAATCAATAGATGCAAACCATCTTCTTGAAGTTGGACTAGAGGGTTTCTATGGAGATGACAAGAAGCAATACAATCCAAACACCGGCAAAGAAGGAACAAACTTCATTGCTAATAATCAGGTTCCTGGTGTGGATTTTGCTACAGTCCATTCATACCCGGATCAATGGTAAGATAATTGATGTACGTAGAAGTCGCCCTTAATAGTCACCTTATAACATACTTCCTCTGTTCTTTTTTACTTGACCTGATTCTTTTATCACGCTTGCCAATGCAAAACTTTAACGATCAATAACTTAAATTCTCCCTAAGTAAAATTATAAAAGTTATATATTATGATAGTACTTATTGAGACAAATCCAAAAAGATTATACATGAATATATTTTTCCTTACATATTATTCACAAAAGACGGTCAAAGGAGGGGTGGTGAATAGTGTAAAAGTCAAAGCGGGTCAAGTAATAAAGAACGGAGGAAATATCCTATAAAATGTCGCACTTGTCTAATATAACAATGTCAATGTCAGGCAAGTAGGATCCCCAATTAACCATCGACTCTCAACTTTTCTCGGATTCCAAAAGTAACTTAACTTGCTACACTTTACTACAGGCTCAATGGTTCTACTGGTGAAGCACAACTCTCCTTCCACCAGCAGTGGGTGCAGCAACATATTATGGACTCACTAAACATCCTTAAGAAGCCAGTCATATTTGCAGAGTTTGGTAAATCATATAAAGTCTCAGGCTACACCCCATCTGACAGGAACCAACTCTACAATATCACCTACGCTTCCATCTATTCATCGGCCAGCAGAGGCGGACCTGCAGCTGGTGGGTTATTCTGGCATCTCTTAACTAAGGGAATGGATAATTTCCGAGATGGGTATGAAATAGTTTTCGAAGAAGAATCATACATAGCAGGTATAATATCTGAACAATCACAGAAACTTTCTGGGCTAAGGAAGAAGTATGCTCAGCTCAGAGATACCGAGAAGAACAAATACTAGAATTAGTGGATGTACACAATTTTAAAACCCTTTGCTGCAATTTCGGGATTTTATTAGCCTCTTATACCATGATTATCTAAGTTTATATACACATGAGGTAAGCTCGTGGTTTATGTTACATGGAAAGGAAAGCCTGCAAAATTTATTTCTTTTCATAAAGTAAACGAAACTAAATCTAAATCACCAAACCATCCCTTATAGTTGCATTCTTCAAAATGATGGTGATGCCTGACCTGATATAGAAGCCTTCGTTTGGTCTATCTGCTTCTTCAACACCCTGCCAGATATTGACGAAAGAGTAATATATAACACGAGTTTATTACAACATCTTCAACATATTCAAATCTAATGTGAAACGGTAGAAGGTACTAATTGGACTTACATCTGTGTTTGCAATAACCACATCTTTTCCAATCTTTGCATTCTTGTCAATTATGCAGTTTCTAAACACACAGAGTAGATTAGTAGTCGAAAAAGATAAACTTCAATTACACATCTTAACAAGTATTGACACCGAAATTCCTTAAAGCTTCCTCTTCTTCATGCACTCACTCTTAACAATAAGAGGTTAAAACAGACCGGACAGTGTAAACTATTTCCAATAGAGTGAGTATATTACTAGAGTTTTTGTTAGTAGTGAATGGTGTCATGTTTATGGTAGTGAGTGCAATCGAATCCACTTGATTAGCAGTATTGTGTTGTAGACTTGTAGTTACATATACACGACTTGAATTTTAGAGGCATTTACACAAAGTGATGTAGATATTATTCAAAATGAGGCCTTGACAGTGGTTGATACCAACAAAAAGATAATATGATAACCACATCCATCAAATAACTATATTCGACACAGTAAGCACGACACAAATAAGACAAGATCAAGTTGGAAGAGGAAGGGTAAGACGAGAAAAAAATAAAATTGAGTGTTACCTAATTTTTGTGTTCTGTCCAACACCAATAGGAACTTTTCCTTCAGCAAGTAAAGAAGCAATTTCGGATTCAGTTTGGTAGTAATCTGCACCCATCATCATGGTTTTCTAGAAACCAAAAACAGGCACTTATTAAATGATTGATAATGTAAAACATAGAGACTCGTAATCTACTTAAGCAACTGTATTCAAGTTTAATAGAAGAAAATATAATCAACTCACCTTAAACTCAACGCCAGATTCTAATCTTGATCGAATCCCAATAATGGAATTTTGTACGCTACACTCCCGTAGAAAACAACCATGGGAGATTATGGAATCAACAATCTATTATAGAAAAAAGACAATTAGTAATTTAGTATTGCGAAATTAAAACAGAGAATAAATCAGAAGATATTGTAGTTTATAGAAATTATACCTTGGACTTCTCAACTTTGGTAGGAGGCAGAAATCTAGCAGAGGTATAGAAAGGTGTCTTTGGGTCGTAGAATTGGAACTTAGGAGGCTACAAGTAGAAAAATTAACATGTTTAGAAACTAATTTGGTGAAGTTTCTCAAAAAGAAAAAATAAATATTCAATTTTACAAGTATAAAACAAAAATATCTAGCTGAGCTTGCATAAAAATTATTTGGCAAAATAGAAATAACAAATTCTTACTCAAATGAAAGAAATGTCAACCTGTTTAGTAAGAGCCAAATTGGCATCAAAGAAAGATTTTATTGTTCCGATATCCTCCCAATAATCGTTAAATAAATAAGCCTGCACAACAGAAACAATACTAAAATTAGTATTAGTATCAAATAAATAAACATATGTTTGAACCTTATAATCCGAGTTCATATAGAAAAAAATAAATAAATAAAATTAAGGAACCAAAACCCATTCACCTGAACATTGTACTCGCCTACTGCAGAGGGAATAATTTCAGAACCGAAATCATTGCTTGAAGGGTATTTCCTATTTAGAAGCTCCATAAGAACATCCGTTCGAAACACATACACACCCATTGATGCAATATATGGGTTTGACTTGGCTTCAAGGTCTGACAGGCCAAGAATACTGGTATCTACTTGCTACCACAAATAAAAAAAACTACTATCATTAATGAAAAATTCTGAAAACATTTCTTCCTACAATTTATTACTTTAGGAATTCTGAAAAAACATTTCCACTTTTAACAGAAATATGATTGTCTTCTTAGCGTAAATACGGTTGGATTAGCATAGTCTATAAACTCTGTACTCAATTTGATACAATATATGTATAGCTGTATGCATGTAAGGCTGTATGCATGTATGTACTCTGGTTAAAATTCATAACTACACCAAAAGGATGAATCCACTTGTAACAATGTTTTCATTCCTGTTAATATCTTTCTTAACCTAAGTATTGATTACAAAAAAAAAATTATGGATTTCATAACTACGCCAAAAGAATGAATCCACTTGTAACAATGTTCCCATTCCTGTTTCTATATTTCTTATACTAAGTATTAATTACATAAAGAAGATTATGGATTTATGGAACACTCAAAATTAACAAGTGTCATCAATTTTTATTCATCACAACTAATTTTTACCACAAATAGTACTTGATGGTCAATAATTATACAGCTAATATAAAAGGCTTTTTTTTTTAATAATAACATTAGTTGGTCCAAGCACAAGGAGTAACTAATAACATTATATAACAAAAAGGTAAATAAAGGGCATACCATTGCCTTTAGATCAGACCCTTTGGGTTTTTCTGCAAATTGGACAATCCGTCCAGTGTGGTCAATTTTCATCAACCCGAAATCTGATGCACGACTGAAAATAGACCAACTTACAAATTAAATCAAAAAATTTAAAATAACTTGTAACACATAATTAAGATAAGAATATCAAATTTATCATTTTTCACTGAACATGAAAACTAAATGTGTACCTATCATCCATGGGTAAACAAGAAACTGTAATGTCAGCATTGGTGTCGATGTGTTTCTGGTTCATTAACAAAAAATAAAATGAATTACGAAAAAAAATTATAAAAAAATGGTGTCGCATGGTATATGAGATAAAATGAAAAATGATACCTGCACAAAACTCATGTAATCCATTCGGTAAAGATGATCACCAGATAAAATAATTATGTGCTTGATATCTTTGGACTTAGAATCCTACATAAACAATCACAAAACTCTAGTATTATAATCAATATTAAAAATACTCACAAAAAAAATTCAAATAACATATTTAATCACCTCAAATAATCCTAATTGTCTCACTGCATCAGCAGTGCCTTGAAACCATCTCTTCCCTTCTTCTCCAGGTGTTTGAGTGGCAGCAAAAACCTATTATCATTATATTAAAAACAATTTCATTGACAAATTTATTCCTAATTAATTTCACAAATCATTACTGTTAGTCTGTCACACCCTTCATTATCAAAATTACATTATACATTTATGTTACCTCCACAAAACCATCACCAAAATTCACACCATCCCCAAAATTGTACGTCCGAGCAAGATGGCGATTAAGAGAGAATGAATTGAACTGAGTAAGGATGAAAATCTTTCGAATGCCACTATTGATGCAGTTGCTCATAGGAACATCAATGAGCCTGTAACACCCTCCAATTGGTACCTGTATACCATTTCACCAACATAAGTCCACCAATTCATGTACACTCACACATTACCATGTTTATTTTGATGAGTGTTTTGAACATTTATACACCCGGGTACACGAATGCACCCAGGGTTAGTTTTTGCACCCGGATGTATATAACAATCTATAAACATTTGAATTGAATATTGTAACAAAAGGTCTAAAAATTGAGCAAGTTTTAAACTTTACTATAAACTACAAGATCATACCGCAGGCTTAGCTCTCCTGCCAGTAAGAGGGAAGAGGCGAGTCCCAGCACCTCCACCTAGTATAATTGCAGCTACATCTTTAGGGTCTGCTTTTGGACTTTCATAAAAAGTTGGCTCAAATTTCTGTACCAAAAAAAATATAGCCCATTTTTACAATTATAGAAATCAAACAAAACCATATATATATTCAAACAAAGAAAACTTTTCAAAATTTAAAAATCTACCCAAAAAAACTTACCAATTCTTTAACACTTTGATTAAAATCAGAAGTAAGAACAGAGAAAGCAACCCCACGTTTAATGACCCTTTTACCCCTGCTATCAGTTCTTAAATTCCTGGAAAACAGAGCTTTCAGATCTCTATTCCTTAGATTTTGACTGGTTCTTTCTCCGAAAAAACCGTTTCATTCCAGTTTCTGATAAATGGGCAATATTAGGGTTCATCACTGCTGCTACACTTGACTCCATTGCTTCTCTAAACCCTAAACCCTAAAAAAAAAAAATCAAAATCATACCAAAAAAAAACTCTTTTTGTAGTGAATCTAACAAATATTAATTAAATAATAAAGAATTAGACTGAAAAGGCATAAACAGATCCTACCAACTTTTAAACATTAAAATTAATACCCAAATCATGAATCAATCATTTGGCAATTAAAAAAATACCCAGATCAGAAGAGTAACATGGAATCAAAAATAAATCATGCCCAGAAAAAATTGATCCCAAATTATAATGGGAATCAGAATCAAAGCATAGGAATCTAGCAAGAACAGAGAGAGAGAATTGGCAGAGGAGATGTAATGTAACAGAATAAAGTTAGGGAGTTTATAAAAATGGAAAATGAAGGAGAAGACAGACAAATTGGCTAAATGAGTGGGAAGTGAGAGGTACTTGAAGAGTGTGATCAATGATAATTTTTTCTGAATTTGGGTACCGCTTAACATTCCACATTTTATGTGTTGTGAATCTGTGATGTGATGTAATGTGGTTTTTTTTTTATTAAAAAAAACATTTTTTTTATGTTTTTTGGGAAAAATTTCAATTTCACCTTCCGTTGTCAAATGAATGCAAAACATTTTGTTACTCTTGTTAATCTTGTTCGAATAATATGGAAGATAAAATGACCCTAAAATAAATGTATCAACTTGAGTAGTTTTTAATTAATTACTGTGGAGTAATAATTTACAAAGTAAATTGATAGAGTTCACTTCAATTTATGGAATAAGTAATTAATTCAAAGTACTCCGTAGCATTTTATTTGTATTTATTAATTGTCAAAATTGTACATTCCAAAATAAAACATAACTACTACTCTCTGGATCATAGTT